AACAGAAGAAAAACAACTCAAACTGCTACGAAATAAATGAAAAAAAAAATACACAAACAAATCACTGGAATAAAATTCTAGGACAGGTGTAACCCATTTGAAAACTTAAATATAAATAATAAAAAAAGCAATCAACTGGATTAAAAGTATCACGATACCAACATTTTTTTTTTATTTTGCATCAAACGAAGTGGATTTAATCTCAAATCTTGAGAGGATTCAAGTGATAGATAATCCGTCTATCCGGCATAAACGCATCCATCGGATTCAAAAATATTGCCAACATGTTTGTTGTCTCTTGCCATTGAAAGATGTGTTTTATCGATCTGTGACAGAAGAAACTTAAAAATAACGAAGCGGCATGTGGCAATAGAATAAAATATTTAATCGATAAAAGTTGCACCAAAGTTTTCGCTATCTTGCTTACTTAAAGGTATGTAACAATATTAAGTAAATTTTTACTGGAATGTGTGTAGGTATGCGTGTTTAATTGCCGAAATATGTCGGTATCTAATCTTCAAATGTTGTTTAGTCTCGAAAACTAAAGATAAATCTAATGTATTCTAGTCCACGAAAAATAGTTTCATTTCTTTTCTTCCAATCTTAATGCAAAATACAAAACAAAGAAATTAAAGAAAGAATTTACAAATATTTACAAATCTTTTCGATTCCTCCAGTTCCAATTTAGCTCTGATGGTCTTTTAAAAAAATCCTCCAATTTAGCAGCAGCAGAAAAGTTATTGTTTGCTTTTTTGTGCTCTCAGCATTTACCCATTATTAAGCCAAAAATGTGTTTATAAAAATGAAGATATTCCTCTGTAATCCTAGCTGTACCGTCCATCGAACTCAGAAAGCGTATTCTCAAGTGCTATATGTACCCGGTGATTATATATGAAATGAAAACGTGAACGTTAACAGAAACACTGTCGGAAAGAATTTAAGAGTTCTGCAGAGGGTGAATATTCAAACAGGACTTTTCCATACTAACAGAAAGAGAAAATTTCCGTATTTCAGACATATCATGCGCAGACACAAATACAGTTCGTATTGCATTGTATCGCAACTAATTAGAATTAAAGAACATGGTCGGGAAAAACAACAGCTGGACTATGTGGAACAGCAGCTTCGAAAGTTACAATCACTTTATCTTCTTAAAAGAGACGGCACATGAATTAGAAATAAATTGTTGTGTCCATAATACGCAAATGATTTTTGAATACCTCTAAAACGACTCGGAGTGTAGGTGGTGCATGGGAGGGAAGGAGACCCCGTATCACCTGCTCACCGAATGCCCTGCCTTGACATGGGCAAGATTGGGAGCCTTCGAAACGGCCCTGATCGATCCGGACTCAGTGCACGGTACTGGGCTAAAGGAGTTGCTGACCGTCTATCGGAGGGGCGGCATTCTGGACGCCCTCTAGAGCGGCCTCGGGGCACAACGAGCCCATCTGGTGGCTAAGTGCTTGGACGCCTGCGAGGGCGCCCCCCTTTAATACCAATATCAATACCAATACCTCTAAAAATGCCTAAAGTAGGGTCCAATAATTTTGTTATTCAAGAATCCTTGCCCTAACATTTGTTTTTTGTGGATGTGTGTATGATTTCCTCTCATCCACCGGGACTTATACTCCAATACGTATACGTATGCGTAATACTCCAATAAAACGTGGATTCATCAGTAAACAGTACATAATTATGAAAAAATGGACTTAGTTACACATTTCGATCATAATTTACTGTGCGTTGGTTTCAGAACTTCTGAAGAAGCCCAATCTGGATTTTCCCCAACTTAATTATAATAATTATATAGTTAATTATTTATTTTAAAAAGAAATATGGCATCGACATCTACTTTTTGACCCACCCGGTATATTTTGATTACTGCAGAAAATGCGCAATAAAAAATCCGATCCAGATCCGAGCAAACTAATATGGTTAGAAAAAAATTAAATTAATCAAAGATTTCAATCAGCAAAAGTTTGAATATTTGTCATGAGTTGTGAGAATTCTTCTAATGCTAAACCCCAGTCAAAGCAGTTATGCAGTTACGTCACGTATGTCTTAGCTATATTCCTACAATTTTTAGATACGTTCCGATATTAATGAAGTCATTAGGTTTGGATCTGCAATTTTAGAAACCAAATGAAAAAAAAAATTGCTAGCGTTTTGTGAAGTGGGCGTCAGTCATCGTGTTATAAATGGGTTCAATTTATCTTGATAACATTTTAATTGGCTGTAATTTTTTTGTTTTTAGAGGGATCCAGGTAAACAAAAAAACAAAATGTAAAACAAAACACTATCAATTTTCTGACATAAAAGCCTACATCATATTGTTTTAATGGAACACCCTGTATATTATATATGTGTTTAATCTAATAACATATTCCGATAAGAGTGATGTAACACACTTTATATTTTACTCCTCTCGTTTTTGACAAATCCTCAAAAATAGGAATTTTTTATGCTATTTCACTGACTGCTACAACAATCATTATTTACAAACTGAAGTAGATTAAAAACACTAAAAATGGCAAGACGCACTAAAGTAAAAAATTATTTAACTAGTCTAAATACTGGTGCACTTGGTTTTTACTTCGTGTATTGATGTAGGATTATTTAAAGACCATCATCGCGTATTTTGTCTATTACAACCCTGTCTTGTAGTGAACGAATATTAATCACTCCATGTTTTCCAAAAAATTATTATTCTCATTATGTCTATTTAAAAAATCTAAACAAAACTGCATCCTCTTGTTACATTGTTTCACACTTAGTTTTTGAGTTTTACCAATTTTAAATGCATAACATTTATATTCTTTCAAAACCGAGTTGATTGATCTCCGAGAAATACCTGTCTTCATAAACTCTAGTAATAGAGGAAACTGGATTTGCTTTAGACAATCCAAATACGGTTGCCTTATTTTCTTCATTTAAAACGTTATGATTCAGGAATACCTTTTTAGCATTTCATACGTTACCGTTTTCTGGAAATTTCTTTGCCAGCCTTGGAAATATCGGTTTTGAAGGAGCTCGGCGCTCTGGATAGATTCTAATATACTGACGACGAACTGCGGTTTTAACAATAATGACGTAGACAACCATCAACGTTGTTTACTAATATGTCAAACCCAAACATATTCTTATTTGTCAGTCAGGGCACTCTTTGAAAATATATAAAAATTTCCTATTTTTGCCGATTTGTCGGAAACGGGTGCATTAAAATATGAAGTGTGTTACATCATTGTAATCAGAATAAGATATTTCATTAAATATATATATATATATATATATATATATATATATATATATATATATATATATATATATATATATATATATATATATATATATATATATATATATATATATATATATATAAAATGCTGGCTGTTCCATTTTAAAAATATGATGTAGACTTATATGTCAGAAAATTGATACTGTTTTGTTTTATAACTTGAAACACATTGGCTACTAACAAACCCTACAATTTGTTTTTGTTTGATGTCTCTAAAAACAAAAAAGTTACAGCCAATTAAAATGTTATAAAGATAAATTGCGGTGCGTATTATTATTTTGTAATAATGAGATTACGGCAACTCTGTTCAGTACCGTATTTATAGGTAGAGACAAAATTAAACCTATCAAATATATGGGAGAATATAAATATCAATTAGATAGGTTTTTATTTTTGAAAAACTCACAATATTTAAACTAACATAACGCAAAGAGCAAAGAAGGGGAACAAACAACAAAATATCTTCCTCCGAATCTGATTTCTGCATATCGACAACAACTTGGAGATTAGAGGCATGTATCAACTTTTCCCTTTGCGAAACCCAACTTATGGGGTGGTCTATGTGCTTACAATAGTTCTTCTGGGGTGAAACATAAAACAAAATGTTATGAATACTCCATCAGAAGTATTATTATTATTTTACTTGAGCAAGTGCGTTAGTTTACACAGTACATCAGATGTATCGGGATTGAAGGAACCATCTCCATCACATTAAATGGCAAGGCAGCAGCCGCACAATGCGATGGCAATTTTGCAATCCTAACTTTTTAATATTTTTTAATATTAATTAATTAATTTAATATTTAATATTTTTAAAAAATAGGAACTAACTATACAGTTGCGTCACTAACATCTATGGTCTAGTTTTTCATTAAACTTGACTGAAATAAAATACTCATTTTTGCAGCCATTAGACGGATGGTTAATCCAACTTTGATTAGGTATTGGTTCAGCAACTCCACAGTGATACGATGCATTGTCCCCATTACTAATAATGAAAGTTAATTAACATTGGGCAACAGCCGTTCGTGAACCACCTTTTAAAGTAAAAAAAAACTTAAGTTTAAGTTTTAATCCATCAATTAATGAACCATGTCAAATATCAACACCATTGATTTCGCGTAAATTTTTGCGGGACAATTCTACAGTTACATGTTCTCCTGTAAGGGAGGAAAAGTAATTATTGGAAGTTATATAGATTTTCGACTTCATTCAGAAAGAAGCTGTGCCACAAATTATATTATTCATTTGGTAAGTCCCATTTTTTTTTTCATCCTTGCTGTGTACGAAGCATAAATTCCCGTGCGTTTGCTATTCTTGTGTTCTTTATTAAGAGGCGTCCCGTATGCTGCTATATGACTGTTCTGAACTTTAGCTTTATATTCATGATCAGTTCTGATGCCTTCAGAATTCATGCATGGAGACAGTGTTTAACGATAAAAGCGGTTTCCCCACATTTTTTTTCTCGAGAGAAATAATTCACAAGTTTTAAGGGCTTGCTCTTTTTCACCAAATCGTTGGAACATTTCGAAACGACTTAATTACCTGGCAAATTTAAAAGTGTTGTTCTTGAGGCGGTTTTTGAAACGAATTTTAAATAAAGTAATGAACCAGATAAAGATGTCATTCTACGACATAACTGCACAATTGCTCTGACTAGCAGCACGCACACAAATACATCAATCGTAGGGGAAAAAAACTCAAATTCAAACTTTAATTTAAAAACAATATGCCCGTGAACGTAACATTACTGCCAGCGACCAATTACTTCAAACTTGCTAGCAAATCGTCTATCAACAGCGAAGTTTCGGCGAAAATCTCGTCAGCGTTTCGTTCGGCGTCGATCCTCTTCAGTTTCTCGGTGTACTGCTGAACTACTTGGTCGTTGTGGGTATTAAACGTGTGCAACCTCTTCTTTATCGTCTCCTCGTTATCATCCACCCTGCCCGACGTCTTCGCCCTCCCCAGCAACCTTTCCACCAACGTCTTATCTGAAGCGTCGTAAAACAACACCAAGTGAACCGGTGCTACTTTCTTCTCGAACAGTATCCCTTGTTCCTTCTCCCTGGGGTAGCCATCGATCAAAAACCCCTTCGAGTCAGGTAATGCCTTCTGTATGGCGTCCCGTAAAAGTTCCAGCACCAGGTCCATGGGTACCAGTTCACCGCGTTCCATTATTGCGCTGAGCTCTTGACCCCTCGACGAGCCGCTGCTGACTTCCTCGCGTAGCAAGTCCCCGGAAGAGAGATGAGTGAACTGATACTTGGTGACGATGCGTTCGCATTGAGTACCTTTACCGGAACCCGGACCGCCCAGCACCCAGATTATGGGTACGCTGATGTCTAAGGCCGACATCGTGGTCTCTTGGTTAGGGTGTGACTACAGAGTGGTTGGCGAGGGCCTAAAACATCGATTGGATCAATTTGACGAGAAAAAAGATTTTTTTAGGTGAAAATGTTAAAAACTTAAAACGTTGGCATGACCTTTCTGCCTACTTGTCTGTGTACTCATAACTTGGAGTCAAGGAATGAGAAGTAATGACTTCTAGTCCTTTTTATAAGAGGACAGTAAGGAAAACGCAGGACACGCAGATGGCCCAAAAATAAAAGTTGGAGTGAATATCGGTTCAGTATTAAGACCAAAATAAACATGTCACTACTCTAAAGAAACTATATATATTTATTAACAAACCAATTCAACTTCGACTTAACTAACTCAAAAACATCTTATTTTACCACAGACCTATTTTATTCATTATACTGCCACCTTTAAAGTCACGTAACCAACAATCAACAATTCAGCGGCGATAACCAAGTCAGAGCGAGCCTCTCGAGGTTTTCCCCCACACCAATTTTGAGCCTCCTACAAGACTCAGACGGCGACTAAACGTGCGCTCTGCAAATCATTTTGGGCCCTTCTCCATAGCCTTTTTAGTCCATCAGAAGAATGTAACCAAAACACATTCTGCTATTGCTGTAAGTTTCAATTCAAATATTCAGTGGTAAATTGCAACCTAACTTCTGCAGCTTGCTGATCTGCAAGCTTGTAGACCAAACGACCTTCATCTTTGTCGAACTGCCCACAGACTAAAGTTTCTACGTCGGATTTCTTGTCTGCAATGATGTTCAACAGCACAAAGTTATAACTTGAGTTCCTCGACCTCCTCCTAATCTGTCATTAACAGCAGCGAAAAAGTTCAACTACTCTTTAGATATATCATCCATAACTAAGTCTGTCTTCAATAAGTGCGACAGGTTTTGCCCAATCCTCGAAACTTAAAAGCATGACAGTAACAAAGAACGTCTATGGTAAACAGTACGTCATTAAGTTGACATTAGGGCCACAACTAGTAAGGTCTTGTACAAAAAAATAAATAAATTTCTTCTAAAGTAGCGATATTTTGGTTTTAAAAATGAATTGATGTACACAAAGACATGAACCAAAAAACAAACCGTAAACAAAGAATGGTTCTTAAAAAAGATGTTAGAGTAAATATTACATTTAAAATCATGAAGCAAGCATTCAACTAACCTTCAATAATGACTAAAACGCCAATGTTTATCAAACGACTTAATTATTGAAATTATCTAAAGTCATGAAAACGAAAAATTTATCAGCCTAAAAAAAAGTCCAGATCCCTCAAATTTTACCAAAAATTTCAGTATTGCGTTTTTGGTTGCACAGTAATTAAAACATGGGGAGATCTACACTGGACTGAACTTAAGATCGACTAACAAGGCAGGCAAATATTTCTAATTTTTTTGATTTACTAGTTGACACTGACTTTTTGCTGAATCACGTGCAACGTTTACGTCAGCGTTTTGGCCAAAAATTGCATGATTCTGAAGGCAAGTAAAAATCCATACGAAATTTGGCAAGGACGACTACAGGCTTTCTCTTTTCAAATTATGATTTCGCTCCACTAAGAAGAATTCCATAAATCATTGTAAATAATAACAATAATAATAAATAAGCTATTGCAACTAAGGGAAGCTTTTTACCTCAATGGATATTTTTTCAATAATTTAAATATTATTTCTGATTTCAACAGACTTTTTTAGTGCGGAAATAACTATTTAGATAATTATATTCTTCATCTTGTTACCACCTTTGTAATTTTGGTATCAAACGTTTTCACACCACTTCCGTAATAAATTTCTAAACAAATTGTGGAAGGGCTCTTCTTGGAGGTCTTGGTTAAACAACTCTTTCTATGACGAATAAGCTATATAAATGTTATTTTTTATATAATTAACTGACTGACTAAGCTATGGGAAAAGAAAAGAAAACTAAAAACGTAAATTGGACAGAAAATTTAAAACTTTCACATAAACAGGGCACAAAAATTAAAATCAATCTAACGCAATGTTAACAATCAAGAAACATTTAATAAAAAAACTATTAAAAAAGGCGAGCAAAACGCGATATTGAGGAAAACATTGAAAAGGACGATAAACAATTCACAATAAATAGACATAGAAATAGCAAAATTTTTTTTTAAATTATTATCCTCCGATACCCAGAGAAACAAATATGAACAACAATAAGAAAATTAATAACTATAAAAAAACATAAAAGATGTCTTGGAAGTCTTGGTTAAGCATTTCTTTCAGTTTCGGTTAGTTTGGTTAGAGAGACAGAACGTTTGTAATATGATTCTACATTATAATTAAAAGAATAAAAAAATGAAGTGACTGAACTAGGAGCCAAGAAACGAAAATTCAAAAACGTAAACCGAAATGAAAATTTAATACCCGTACGAACACGAAGCAAAAAATATAAAGAAACAAATAATCAAGAAAAACTATGTAAAAAAGGTGAATAAAATGCAATAATGAGGAAAACAGTGAAAAGGGCGATAAAAAATTCACAATATTATGTAATATAATATAATATATCATCCTCATAGGCCCCGGGGAAATAAACCTGTACAACAATAAGAATATAAATAACTATAAAAAAACATAAAAGATTTCTTATAGGTCTTGCTTAATGAGCCCTTCCAGTTTTGGTTATTTTAATTAGATACTATCTAAGTTAATAATCCTTCGAAGTGAATTGGCTGAAGCAAGGGCTAAAAAAAGGAAACCGAAAAACGGAAACTGGACTCAAAAATTTAAAACTCGAAACGAAAAGAGGACACAGAAACACAAATAAAACTATACACAATATTAACAAGGAACAAAGAAACAACGAAAAATTAATAAAGAAAAGGGCTAATAAGAGGCATTATTGAAGAAAAAGGGCTACTTATCTGCTCAGTTTAAAATTAAATTTTTGTTTTCATGTAAAATAAGTACAGTAAAGTACGAGGTATGCTACATGAATTAAGCGTGAAATTTGAAGCAGATTTCGAAATTAGATTTTAAAAAATGGTGTTAAATTTAAGAAAAGGAACTTTTGACCCACGGATTTTTAAAGTAATTTTTTTCATATTTTACCCGTTCACTGTATGCCAAAAACTTTTTTTTTAATATTATTATCCGAAGCAAGTAAATAAAAAAATAGATTATTCTTTCCGATTTGGTTAATTTCGTTAGAAAATATCTAAAGTTTGTGATGTGAAGAATAAGCTAAGTAAATATTATTTTTTATAGCGCATCCTACATTATATTAGAGGAACCTAACTAAAAGAACTAAAAGAACTAAACAAAGAAGCAATAAAATACTATTTTAAAAGAAAACAATGGAAAAGGTAACCAACAATTCACAGCGTACACATACACATCAAACGCCTTTTTTAGTATTATCCTTTCTGAATAATCGATGCTATTTTTTCGATTTGCGATCCAAAAACAAAGTTATGTAAGCTGCAGCTTCAGCGAAATGTAAGGTTACCTGGTCAGCTGGGCCGGTCTCAGTCTACTGCATCTTTTGGCCGCCGCACTCGCGAAACATTTCAAATAATTAATTTATTGTGTCTAAACGCTAAAGCCGCGCGTGTGGGCCGCGAATTATATTTGGACTCGAACGTTGTCGAGGTAACCCGTGCCAACAAGCGGGAAATCGATCGAGGAAAACGCCAAACGATTGCTGCCGCCATCTGCGAGGGCATAGCGATACTACATCGCGCTCGAAGCAGGAACGATCAAAAATTCGTGTCTTTAAATTTGCATTCCGTTATAGCAACCGCATAGTTTCGTCGATGGGGATGATATTACGATACGCAGTGCTAACTGAACGAGTAGAACTGACCAGAACTTTGCAACACGAGACCGAACGATTTATCATCCTCGCTAATTACAAGCCGCGGCAAATATAATTAACCTCGCAAGCTAACTGTTGTTTATATCGATAATTTTATACGAACTCAACCGCCAATTTGCATTTTTTTTGTAAAATCATTTCTTCAATGACACTGCCAAGGAACCAGACGGAGCATCACGACATGCGTGTGGTTCGCCCATACTCACCATTGCTTTGTCACCAGGCCCACGACCGGTACAACATGGGGTCGTTGTTCAGAAGCGAGGAAATGGCGTTAGCGCAGCTGTTCATCCAACCGGAGGCGGCTTACTTTGTCGTATCGGAGTTGGGTGAGACTGGATGCGTGCAATTCAGAGACGTAAGTTTAACTTCGCAGCTGATTAGGGGACACCGGGGTTAGTTGTTACAAAATATTCACTCTACTTTTCTGTAATTACTTACTTACTTACTACATTACTGGGTTGAAGTAGTGGGAGAATCGGAGATTGTGCTGTGTTCATTAACTTTTTTAATAGGTATATCAGATTAGCAACAGAACAAAAATATAAAATATGCAAATTTAGAAGGTAAAGACTATGGTTAATAAGATAAAGCGAATATCTGAAGGAATAATCTACTCTAAATGCTAGTAATATAGAAGCTAGGCAACTGTAACAATATTTACAAATCTTCTGGATTCATCCTGCGTCCTTTGAAGAGGCTAACCTATTATTAACTATTTTGTTTACAGAACCGTCAAACTATCTCAACTCGAGTCACTGAACCTGGAATTAAAACATTTTACATCTCCTTTACTCTAAAACAATTTTCACATTAGAGATATTAAGAGTTCCATCACAAAATACACTTTACCAAAACCTTCTAATGGCAATTAGTCTGAAAGCAACAACACACTTGCCACTGTTGTCCTAACTTACATTCAAAACATCGCTGACCACATATCAAAAGTTCTTAAGAAGTATAACGTCAAAACCAGATTTACCACTTGTCCAAAAATCTGTCAACATCTTCCATCCGTCAAAGACAAAATTCCGTTTGAGACACAGCATAAGCGGCAAAGAATACATTGGAGAGACCGGACGAAAGATATCAACCAAACTTGCATTTAATCAATTTTTCTACCAACGAAAAATCCGAAAAAATAGAAAGCTATAAGCAACCTAACAATCTTAACCACGACTCAGGTCTACCTTTCACCAATATGGGAAATAGTCACCCGAGACAATGTTCATGCCTCTCCTTTAGCCTCTCCTTTTATATAAGCAAGTACAGAGTAGAATACGAACCAGCTTCAGTGAAGCTCTGAAGAAGCCAGCAGGATGATTGGCGAAACGTCAGCAAGTTCGATTCATCAACAACCAAGCCAGGAGGAATCCAGAAGTTTTAAAATAGTTTTTCTAAAATATTTTTTCCTTCCGCGAATTCTCCTAAAATACTAAAACATAAGCAATAGTAACCAAAACAAAAATTATTACAGTTTTGGTATTCCGTGTTTTATTTTATTTTGTTCCTAAATATTTAGTTTTCGTGTATGTTGAGACATGTTTAGCGTACTAATGGTATGTCATTAACAATACCCATGCCATGTAAACTGGGCTCCTCTGACGAATAACTCTTTCCTATTCTTGTAAATGATTCAGATGAAGAAAACGAAGGGTACATAATGATCGCGGCAACATACAGTGATTGTTCTGAAGTGGAAGATAATTCAGAGGAGCGAACAATTAATGTAGATGACGACAGAATGACGCTGAGAACGCCTTAGGTGGTAATATTCAAGTTGCTGCTTGTATTTTTCGATTCATAGCTCCTAAAATAGATATAAAAGGAGAGTCTGATTTTATTCTTAAGAAATTGTTTTTCTTTATTTCTATCGGAGGAGATTTTTGAAATTATCTTAAAATTTACTAATCAAAGAGCACCAGAAATTATGAATAAACATGAATGAATGATGTGCGTTCTGCGCAATAATAATTTTATCTGGAAGATTTAGAGAAGCTAAAGAAAGGCCAGTTAATTGTGGTCTTCCACAAATAAATCTTTATCAAGACCTATTTATCAAGCTTATTGATAAAACTATTTCCACAAGAGCAGAAAGAAAAAGTCAAGATAAACTTGCTCCTATTCGCGATGTGGTTGACATTTTTTCAAAAAACTGCAGAGATTCAGTGAACCTGGAAAACATAGCATTTAAATTTAGATATTATATGATGCCATTACATTTTATCTAGAAAAGGAGGGAGAAACTCCTGAAAACAAATTATGGACAATGTATAGTAAAGCTAACACTAATTGGCATTATGCTCAAAAATAAAAAGGTCAAAATTATATCTATATATAGTGCGAAAGTTTATCAAAGAACAAATTTACTTTATATCTGTTAAAACTCGTGGCACGCCTCAAGCTTGTTGCTTGAAAGTTCCCTGCGACGTTTTAAAAAGTCAGTTAGCGAATCAACTGATTCAGACCCCAGTTTGATCCAGTTTGACGGCACTTTTGTGTTATTTTTTTATTGGAAATTTTAAGATTCTTTTGAGGAAAACGATGACAAATTTTGGAATAGTCGTTTACATAAAGCACTCTCTAAAATATATTTAACGACTGTCTGTTTTTTATGTCCCAGCTTCTGAAAAATTAACAGACGATACTTTTTCGCATATCTTTGAAGTATTATAAGATTTATCTCATATTAATTAGCCACATGTCTGAGGTGTGGTTCAGGTATATATTATTACTATGAAAAAAAGTTGAAAAATTTCAAAACGCATTCACAACAAAATTAAAAAATGGGGTGTTCCATTTAAAGAAATGTATGTTTTCTAAGTTGCTCTTTTTGGGACACCCTGTATGCTTTAAAATAATTTTAAATTATGCATCCCAACATTCTTTAGAATTTTTTTTCCACTTTCTCATAACTTTTGAGATAACGAGCTAATGATTTCACTATATCGTTGACCCACCCTGTACAGAGGTGAAAAGCCAAATTGGTCAGTCAGTCAGTCATAAAACAGTACCTGAGAGGTGCACAGTTCACAGGATATTAATCAAACTCTGCCCGGTGTCGAAAATGACAACGTGGCGTTTCTGACGCGAGTATCAAGGTGCTGCCCTCTAGTTTACGAAACTAAAACTAAAGTAACAACCTGCCCCGTGTAATAACCAACCCCGGTCTACCTTACGTTATCCCAATGAACCGATCGTAGCTGAATGAGGAGACCAATGTGTTCCAACGACAATTCGTCAGCGAGGTCAGGCGGTGCGAAGAGATGGAAAAGAAGCTGAGGTACATCGAGCAGGAAGTGAAGAGGGACGACGTCTTCGTACCCGACATGAGAGAGCTGCCCATGGCGCCGAATCCCCGACAAATCATCGACTTGGAAGTAATATCTTGCTGCCACGAATTCGGAATACTTAACTAGACTTCTAGGCGCACCTGGAGAAAACCGAGGCGGACATCAGGGAACTGTCGGAAAACACCGCGACTCTCAAATCGGACTTGAACGAACTGGTCCAGATGAAACACGTGCTAGAAAAGGCCCAAAACTTCTTCAATCAGAGGGAAGAGGTGACCCACGATCCCAACTGGAGTCCCGACGACGTCGAAGGAGACACGCCTCTGGGATACGTAGCCGGAGTAATTAACCAGGAGAAGTTCTACCCATTCGAGAAGATCCTTTGGAGGATCGGCAGGGGCAACATCTTCGTTAAGTATGACGAGATCAACGAGGCGTTGGATGATCCCAAAACGGTAGGTAAAATTAAATTACATTTCAATCATTATAATCAATTATTCCGCAGGGGACGAGGAACAAGAAAGTGGCCTTTATGGCTTTCTTCCAAGGTTCCAACTTGCAAAGTCGTGTCAAGAAGATCTGTGCTGGATTTCACGTGTCGCTCTGCGAATGTCCACATTCCGCGAGCAGCAGACGAGAGAGGCTGATTTCAATAGCTACTGATGTAGCAGACATTGAGACGGTCCTCAACCAAACCATGGACCACAGACGGCGGCTGCTGCATACCGTGGCCAAGGAGCTCGCCAATTGGACGGTGATGGTGTGCAAGATGAAAGCTATTTACCATACTCTAAACCTGTTGAGCGTGGACGTTTCTAAGAAGTTCCTGATAGGTGAAGCCTGGGTTCCCACCGCCGATATGCACTTGGTAGAGAACGCGCTGACACAAGGCTCGGTATGTCACAACCAAGTAGGAAATTTTGAGCTACTGATTTGGGTGTTTTAGATATCCTGCGGAAGCACGGTGCCTTCCTTTTTGAACATTATCGAGACCAAGGAGACCCCACCCACCTTCAATAGGACCAACAAGTTCACCCAGGGGTTTCAGAATTTGATTTCGTCATACGCGTTCGCTTCCTACAGGGAGTTGAACCCAGGTACAACCGTCGGGCTGAATATGAGCATCTCGCAATAACTGTTTTGCAGCTTTGTACACTATCGTCACGTTTCCGTTCCTGTTTGCCGTGATGTTTGGCGATCTAGGCCACGGAGCGATAATGTTCCTCAGCGGGTTATCCTTGGTGCTACTGGAGAAAAAACTGGAAAGGCGAAAGGACATGGGCGAAATATTCAACATATTCTTCGCCGGAAGGTACATTATCCTCCTCATGGGGCTGTTTTCCATGTACACCGGATTCATCTACAACGATATCTTCTCCAAGTCGATGAACATCTTCGGCACCAAGTGGAAAGTGATGTACGACACGTTGCCGGAGAACTCTAGCGATTCGTACTATCAATTCGTTCCGCGAATCAACTTCGAGGGGGATCCCTATTGGGCGGGAGTGGATCCTGCCTGGCAGAGCGCGGAAAACAAGATCATATTCCTCAACTCCTTCAAGATGAAACTGTCCATTATTATAGGGGTGGTGCACATGGTGTTCGGAATAGTACTTAGTACCGTCAACTTTATGTAAGTTTTCTTAATGTGCTGTCCAACGGAACTATCGCCATGGAAATGGAAAGATTGGAAATTGGCTAACTCAAATCTTGTCATTAACGACTCTAATCCTATTTCTTTAACCTATAAACGTCAAACTTACTAAAGATCGTTCTCAATAAGATGGAAACTAATTTGATTTTGAATAATTTGCGACAGTATTTAAAGTTATTAAAAAAAAAAAGGAAATTCTGAAAATTTTTCCAAAAAAAAAACTTTTCTTGACATTTAGCTAAATTTTTTTGAAATAAGGGTCTTTTACTCTTGTGCAATTATTGTATTTCTTGTCCTACTCTGTATGTTGTTTAATTTGCAAATATTTTAAGTGTATCTAAAATAATTATGGAACATGCACTAACTTTTGGCAATATTTGTAATAACATTGTGCCGTTAGCAAAAAAAATCCCATATGTTGCATGTTGCACGTATAGTTTAACGGCGCATTCCCTTTCAGACACTTGAAAAAATACTCAGCTTTACTTCTTGATTTCCTTCCCAAGATACTGTTCTTCTTCCTGATGTTTGTATACCTGGTGGTGATGGTTTTCATGAAATACACTATGTACTCGGGACTATACGACGGGGCAAATGACACAGGTATTCCTAAGATATGAAATTTGATAAGGATCTGTCAACTTATCGTACGAAACTCTCCAGATACATCTCCAGGAGTAGATACTGTGCATGGGTCATCTTGCGCACCTTCTGTGCTAATCTACTTCATCGACATGATGCTATTCAAGCAGCCAGACGCCACTGATCCCTGCGAAAAGTACATGTATCCAAGTCAGGAGATCATCCAGAAGATGTTCATCTTCGTCGCCCTCATTTGCATACCCTTCCTGTTGCTGGGGACGCCGCTGTACGAGATGCAAAAGAGGAAGAGGTCACATCGCGCCCAGGGTGTCAACCATGTAGAAAACGGCTACCGGGTGGGTATGGGACGAGCCTGGACAGGTTCGCTATAGCAAGTGTTTTCAGAACGGACAAGTGAATCAAGCGATGGAAATGGACAGCCGAGAAAGTATGAAGCAAGCGCTCACACCGACCTCTACTGCGGAAGAGGGTCACGAGGAAGAAGAAGAACCGATGAGCGAGATTTTCGTTCACTCGGCGATCCACACCATCGAGTACACCTTGAGTACGGTGTCCCACACAGCTTCCTACCTCCGACTGTGGGCTCTGTCGTTAGCCCATGCTCGTAAGATATGATCACGAGTGTCGCCACTGTATAACTTGTTTCATCTCCAGAGCTGTCCGAAGTGTTGTGGACGATGGTATTCCGCAAAGGGCTCACCATGAGCGGCTACGTGGGGGTGGCGGCGGTGTTTATAATTTTCGCGGTCTGGGCCTTCTTCACGGTCGCCATTTTGGTGTTGATGGAGGGGCTGTCGGCGTTCTTGCACACCCTGCGTCTGCACTGGGTCGAGTTCATGACCAAATTCTACGAGGGGGCGGGCTATGACTTCCGTCCGTTCAGCTTCAAGACGGTACTCGAACCCGAGGACTAGCCTCGCGACTTACTGCATTAAAATATATAGTGATTAACGAAACCGCGTTTTATTTATGCGTTCAAGACATAACTTAAATTCCGATATCTAAATTTTCCAACCAGTTCACTGCTTGTGGTGTCAGTTTTAGCACACCACAGGAATTCTACGTGTGTACAGTTCTGACCCTATTTTTAGGTGGACCAAATCCTACGAGTTGGCTCTGATCCGATAAGGAGCTGTGACTCATTATATAAATTCTCCATTTCACATTTCAATTCCTGTTTCCATCGTTCGGGAGTATTTTCTACTAAGTGTTCTGAAGAGATGGTAGATCTTGATTTATATGGAGGCGAGTTTAGTTGAGAATGCCATTGCAGTGATGTGCTACAAAATTTCAGTGCATTAATAGAGCACATCGAGGGCTGAACAGCGCAGGGTTACTATAGACGTAATCCAGCATGCACCTCTCAATTTTTATAGCAAGTTGTTCCTCGTGTGTAACTTAGTCGATAGGTTCGAAAGATGTTTCCTGAAAGCGTCAGTTCAATCTACATATTTAGGCGGGTGTTGAAGATTATATTCAGGTCATTTCTTGAAAAATGTTCTCCCGTTCTCCCAGGTCTCCCGTGTCCTCCCATGTTATTTTAGAAAATCTGCTGTGTAGATACTGAATAGTAGGAGTGCCAGAGCTGTGCCCTATGGAAGTCAGTTTCTTGGTTTTACTTTTCTTATTGTCCATAACTACTTGGAATTCTCTATCAACTAACATTTCGTTTAGTAATTTAGCAGTCGCTGCATTCCTTCCTGTATACTGTGTCGAATGCGGCAATAAGATAAATGAGAGCAACTCGGCTTTTGAGATGCTGTTGAAAACCTTTTTTGATATGTGCAGTGAGGTCTGAAGCATGCCTGTTCAAGTGGTACGTGATCAAAAAAAAAAAATCTTGTACATCCAAATTAATATGGCTTTCTAGTTTATCATTTCATTTTGATTTGGTTGCACTTGTTAACTTCATTTTTTACAGATCTCTCTTTATCTGGCTACTGTGAGTGAGGTTCTCAGTTGATAACTGTAGGTTTGATGCAGTTTTCGTTAAAATTAGTTAATGTTTTCGGTACAATAAGGGGCGGAAAAAAGATGTTGTTTGAAATCAAGAAAAACGCGCTACTACTACTAACTGGGTAAAACAGCTTTTTCTTCTTAATATCAACTATATTCCGATCAAAATCGGGTTATTTGCCGCTTATTCTAACCAAAAAGGGCATTAAACTTGCAGATATCAGTTTAGGAATTTACTTTCTATATCATACGGTAAACTTTTCTGATCGATATCGATAAAAATGCAGTCAAAACTTATTTTCTCGGCACTTATTGCACCGGAAACTCCATAAAACCTGCAGATATCAACACTTTCTGTGACACGCAGTACCTTGCCTTGTCGATTTTGAAAACATTCCCATCAAAATTGGCTTCCCCCTCTGTTTTTGGGTAAAACCTCAGATTTTTCTTCTTAATTTCAACTATATTCTATATTTTGCGCTACTTATTGTAACTAAATCGGCATAAAACTTATAGATAACAGCCTACATCGCATCGAAAACTCAACAAAATCTGCAGATATCAACCTTGTTGCACTCATTGTACTTAGTACTTGTACTTGTCGATTTCATTCAAATTGCAAATCGAATTTTCCGTTCCTCACTGCACGAAAACCTACAGTAAAAAAGAACTTTCTAGACATTCATTGTACCGAAAACTATATCAAACCTGCAGATATCAACTTAGAACTTCACTTTTCGTGCAGGTAACATGTTCTTTTCAATTTCATTCAAACTCCAGCCCAAATCGACCTTTCCGTCACTTACTGTACTAAAAACGGCACCATACCGCTAAATAGACACTTAAAACCAAGATTTCTTCTCTTTCTTGACTTTGATCAGGTTCCGATCAAAATCAACGTTTCCGACATTTGTTGTATCGACAACTATATCAAACCTGCAGATATCAACTTAGAACCTTGCTTCCTTGTCACTTTCGATAAGGTTTCAGTAAAAATTTGGTTTTCCGCCACTTATTGTACCGACAAAATCAACAAACCGGCAACCTACAACTCAAAATTTTGCTCTATATTCCGGTCAACAGCGATTTTTCCGCCACTTATTGCGACGAAATCAGTATTAAACCTGCATAAATCTTATCGCAGAACCTTACTTTCTGTGCCATGCAGTAAGCTTTCCTTTTCGATATCGATTAAATTGGAGTTCAAATCAAATTTCTCAACATTTATTGTACCGAAAACTACATCCAAAACGCAGATATCAACTTAGAATTTCGTTTTCTGTGTAAGTGTCCTTTTCTTGTAGATTTTAATCAAATTCAAGTCCAGATCGACTTTTCCGCCACTTACTGTACCAAAAGCGGCACTATACTACTTATTGTATCGAAAACTATAGCAAACCTGCAGATATAAACTTAGAACCTTACTTTCTGTGACACAGAGTAACCTTTTCTTGTTTGTCGATTTCGATAAGGTTCCAGTCCGAAGCGAAGCTTCAAATTCCAGTCAAAATCAACTTTCTCGACAGTTATTGTCCCTAAAATCTACATCAAACCCGCAAATATCAACTTAGAACCTCACTTTCTGTGTAAGTATCGTTTTCTTGTCGATTTTAATGAAACTTCAGTCCTAATCGACTTTTGCGCCACTTACAGTGCCAAAAACAGCACCATAGTTACAGATATGCACCTAAACTCACGTTTCCTCGATGAAATAGCAGCTTCTCCTTCTTGTCGCTGAACAGATTCGAGCCGCAGTCAACGTTTTTGGCACTTATGGTATCTGTGACACAGTAATCTCTCCCTTTCGATTTCGACATAGTTCCAGTCAAAAGGGACTTTTCCACCACTTATTGTGACGAAATCGATATTAAACCAGCAGATATCAACGTAGAACCTTACTTTCTATTTCATACAGTAAACTTTTATTGTCGATACCGATGAAATTCCAGTCAAAATCAACTTTCTTCACACTTATTGTGCGGAAAACTACATCAATTCCGCAGATATCAACTTAGAACCTCACTTTCCGTGTAATAAAGGTAAGTAGCCTCTCTTTCTGTGTCAAATAGTAGCTTATCGTTCTTGATCTTTATAGATATCATCGTAAAACCTCACTTTCCGTTTTGATTCTCAGAAAATCGACATCTGCCACCCAGACCTTGGCAGGATTCGGTGCGTGCATTGAGAGAACTAATCGTTCGACACCGTATTTAAAAAAAATTAATCCTATTTATAACGATTTATTTTGAAAATATTATTTATCTAGTAAACGCGTCGGTGGATTAAAAATAACCCTAATAATGATGCGAATTAAGTCGTTCGTATTTTTAATCACATTCGAATTATTTACGGTAGGCCGGCGTGCCAGATATTTTTTTCGACAAATTATTAAATCGCGATAATCGGAAAAATCGGTGCGTCATCGGTAAAGCCGTATTTAAATCGACGCGATAATATTTAACTTCGAGTTATCAAAGATTAATGAAATCGTTAAGAACGCAAAATAAATCGGGAAAGGGGCCTTTCGTCGAGGCAATTTTATTCGTAATCTTTGTCGAAACAAACGAGGGCCATTTCGCTGATAGAAATATCGCTCTGTTTTTCGGAAGTTTTAGGAGTCGACAAACAGTTTTTAAAGCGATTGAAAGTTAATTGAAAGGTTTCCCGAGAGCGTTAATTTGCTAAAGTAATCAATCAGCAGGTAGCTTTAGCTTCAAAGAAAACCGCAACTTTAAAACAGAAAATTGAGTATTTTTAAGGACGTCTTAACTTATAAAGTCCAGTGGCAGTTTTAAGAATGAATTCATATAATTCTTCAATTCGCTCCCTTATTGCAGATTTTACATTATTTGCTCGTCATTTTGCAGTAAATTTTACGTAACATGTGTGGATATTACCAAAATAAATATCGCATAAAGTTTTACTTTACATTTAATATACTACATAGTCATAAGTCATTGTTGAAGCACTCATCTAATGTATAGTCAAATTTTTATATTGACAGTGAATTTAGTATATACTATGTAATGGAGATTGAATCATAATATATTACACAGGTGAATCATTGTTGAAGAACTTATCTAACGAATAATGAAATTTAACAATTGACAATTGACTTAGCATCCTTTTGAAAAGTGATGATTGATGATGATTCAATTCCCTATTATATTGCACATTATTTGGTCGTTTTTTTGCAGTAAATTTTGCAACATAAGAGTTGAAATAAAAAAAAGTATAGAAATAACCAAAAATATTACACAAACAAGTATTGAAATTTTATGTTACATTTAATACTATGTATAGAATGGACACTCAATAACACATTTCATAGGTAAGTCATTGTTGAAGAACTCATTCACTCATCAAAACTCAGGAATAATCAAATTTTAAAATGGACAGTGATTTCAACATTCATTTCATATGAATATTTTGAAGGACCTCCTAACTTATAAATTACAGCGACTTGAACTGAGTGTCTTTTACTTGTTGAAAATCCATTTAACAAAATAAATAAGAACTAAGAGATCAGATTTTCACGAAATTATATATAATATTACCTATGTATTGGATATTCAATCATACACTACATAGTTGAGTCATTGTTGAAGCGTTCATCTAATGCAAAGTCATATTTTAATTTTTACACTGACTTTAGTATCCTTCTAAAGAGTGATATAAGATACAAATAAGGTATTTTTAAAGACCTCGTAACTTATAAATTACAGCAGCAGTTTTAAGAATAAAATTAAAAATAAAATCCTTATTAAGCACGTCTTAACCTATAAGTCACAGTTTTGAGAATAAAATCTTATTTTCCTGGAATTCAATTCCTTATTATAGATTGAATAAAAAGAGTAGAAATCAAATAGTATAAGTATCAACAAAAAATTGCATGAACAAGTAAATCAAAATTTTATATTACATTTAATATTAAATAAGTGCAACTGCTATCAGAAGGTTAAAAAAAGTTCTTCATAGAGAATTTTACGCTGCTTTTAATATTATCAATTTAATGGTTATATCCAAATATCATCACTGAGGATTTATTAATATTATTTACTAGCATATATTCAGTACCAGAATCGTAGAATCTATTACAATCGAAATTAATACTAAGGCAATTCTCAGAAGAAAAAAAATACAGTTGAGAAGAAAATTGATAATCACAAAACAGTAATGAAGAAAATCTAGATGTAATATACTTAAACAGAAATGGCCAAAGGCCTAGAGAATGATTCGTTAAATATTTCTTCTTGTGTTGTGTCATTTAAAAGGGATGGTACGAATTTGCAAGGCACTTCACTGAATCATGCGTAATGAAGAAGTGAAATAATTTAATAAATAATCATGTGAAAATCTTTGCTAAAATCAAGTAAAACCAACTATAACCAGATTTAACCGATTGTTTAGTGGGCAAAATACAGCAAAGAGTAAGAAATGCTCCTATTTGCTTCACTTTGCTCCTAGAGAGTGTAGACAGATTAATCGAACGCAAATCATTAAACTCTACAGGATTTTTATTTTATCCAGGGGTATTACTTGTGCTTCCCACAGTACGGGAAAACGAGGTTAAAACACATGCAATACATGAATACAGACATTTGGAGTCCTAGTAATATAAAATCTGTATTGTTCTGAGCAGTTTTACTTCTTAAGAAAGAGTACGCACTGAAGGCAATAAAGAAACGTTCCATAACAATAAGAAAGCAGTTTAGCCCATGAAAAAATGTCCTACTTATATTTAAAATACGGTTAACTATTGATAATTTTAATTAATTCAATTGTTTCGTGATTTAACCACGTTAAACAATAAAAAGCCGTAGTAAATATATTCAGTGGTCGTTTGGCACATAACGATAGCAATAAAATCGGTTTTTTATTTTTGTATTTGTCCTCCAATTTTCTATTTTTGTATTAACCTCCGGAGCTGACATCCGCTCGTATAAAAACTACCGGTGACATGAAATACACGAAGGAATACACTTTTTAACTTGGAAAAATATAATTTTGACGTATTTAATGAGATATTACAACCCGCAAGCCGGGCATCAATCATGGCAATTAAGCGAACGTAGGGTTTAAAATTCCCAACTCGCATAATTCCCAACCCCCCCTTTGTATTAAGAGTCGTCCCATACTCGACGAATAAATTTATCCACACCCCTGACACCAAACGCACCCCCTTCGTCTAGCTTAGCGCAGTAGGTAAAATCAAATCTTTGTTTGGCCGACCCTATTCGACCCTAAAGCGGTACGGTTCATGAGAAATTTGTAACGCGCCGCATGTCTGTTGAGTCAGACCGATTCACATACAGGGTGCGTCGAAACAGGCATGCAAATAATAATAATGACAACAACAATAATAATAAATAAATATCTTTTATTCACCACTTATAAATAAAAATTTTTGAGGTCAGGAAGATACAAACAAGATAAATATGTTACATATAAACAGTTAAACCAGTGTAACTAGAAAGTAAAACTTTGTACACTCTAAGAATAATTCATTTATAAAATAACTTAGATCTACTGTGTATGATGAGTAACGAATTCGTTTATATAATAGAAAAAAAATGCTCTTCAAAAAACTTTTTTGATAATTTTTTGAATTTTTTAATGGAAAGTCGTTTAACATGAAAATTTTTGGACCGAAAAAGAGTGTTTACAAAAATATTATACAAATCTACATTAAGTTTATTTTTTTGTGTAGTACACAACCTCGATCTTAATGTTATGATATCGTCAGCTGTTCGCGTCATGTAGCTGTGAATCCAGCATGAGTCGGAAAAGCAGACAAATTTGAGCGGATTTCAACTAAAGTTTGGATAATAAACATACATGGTAACGTAAATATTTTCAATTTTTTGAATATTGGGCGGCAGTGGCTGGACGGCGGAACATCCCCAAGAACCCGAACCGCAGACTTCTGCAATCTAAAGGCTCTCTCGTCCTCCGTTGCGTTCCCCCACAATAGTAGTCCATATGATAAGACACTATGAAACAGTGCAAAATAAACTATACGGAGAGTGCTTCGAGAGATGGAACCTCGCAGTTGTCTCAGAACAAAAACCTGAGAAGACAATTTGCCGCACAGGTAGTCTATATGAGGCGACCATGGAAGAATTTTGTCACTTTTTATTCATCTGGAAAACATCCCTCAATGCTATTGTTTATTAGTACCGTAATGGGTTTCAGCGTCAAGATAACAAGTGTAGACTGTGCAAGGAAAAAAGCGAGAGCAAATTCATTGAGAGACATAATAAAGTTTGCTCGCTAATACATTTAGAGCTATGTAAATATTATCGGTGCCAACTTAAGGCGGAGCAGTGGTATCAGCATGATTCGGAAAAGGTCACAACCAGCGAAGAAAGAAGAGTCACGATAATGTTTGACTACCCTATAAAGAGGGACAGGACAATGCCGGACCAGGACGGCCAGAGTGGAGCAGCTAACCGTGCGGACATTATCATTAGAGAAGAAAAAACCACTTACCTCATTGATGTATCTATCCCAGCTGATGATGAGAAGAATCTGAAATACAGGTGCCAGGCTATAGAAATTCAAAGAATGTGGAGAGCGAAACTAACAATTTTGCCTGTTGTTGTCGGCTGCACCGGATACGTATCGAGGGACTTCACGAAGTATGTAGACCAAATACCAGGCAGATATTCAGCATCTGAAATATAGTAAACAGTAATATTAGGAACAGCACATATTCTGCGAAAAGTACTTACCTAGTCCGAAGCCCATCCAATCTCTGTTATACTCAACTCCCAAGTCAGCTCTGGAATCGAGTAGACTCCCGCTAAACTGGTGATCCGCTACAAGGAATGACGGTGCAGAGGTTAACTGACTATTGCCGTGTATTTGTTGGTGTATATTTTTGAAATTGCGCCTATTGTGTACATATCCTGTTTACTAACCTGTATATACCCTCAACTCTACCGTTGAGTTTGTAAGTGTGTTTTCAATAAACAGAATAATAATAATAATAATAATAATAATAATAATATTAACAATAATAGCCTTCAACAGAGTTGCTGGTATAGTAAACCATTCGCTAAGGGTCAAACTTAAGAACATACAAGATACAACACCGTACTATCAGTACCAACGTCAATCTGTGAAGATGAAAGGGTACGCCTGTATTGGAGAGGGACAATTCTTACCGACCGCCCAATCCCACATAAGCAGTATAACGCTGAAGTAAATTGTGAATATATTTCCTTTCACAGAACTTATAAACCGCTGATGTATACCCAGATTGTTTAAAATTTTCTGAGATATTCACCCTCTTTAAGAAAGTTGTTCCAGACTAGCTTTAGAACTATCGTCCTGTATCCATTGTGGTCACCTTTTCTAAGGTAATAGAATCCCTGCTAAAAGAGAGATTGGTCAGATACGTCGAGTCTAACTCGCTTCTGTTGTTACGGAGTGTGATTTACCTAGGGCTTTCGATTGTGTTTCTCAAGAAACTCCCCTGAATCATATTTCTAATATAGATATCAGGGCGTGCTATACAATAACTCTATTTCTCAAAGTGTCCTAATCAAATACGGGGTGCTTCGAGGGCCAATCTTGGGACCAACATTGTTTGTGTCCACATTAATGATCTCTGTAATTTTATGATGCCAACCAAAATGGTAATATTTGCAGCCGATACCTCTTTTATAGGTTATAGTAATTTGTTTTGAATTTACTATCGATGAAAATATTTTGGACGTTGGAAAAGTTGGTTTGCTGCTAATAATCTCCAGCTTAATCTAGCGATAACAGAAAACTCTATGTTTAAAACTGACAAGAAGTGTAGGTTTTTGATATACTTTGCTATTTTCCATAGTCACATCTTGTACGGGGTAGTGCTCTGGAGAAGTTCCAGCGATATCATTTTTATCCTTCACCTTCAAAAGAAAGTCATTAGCCATTTCGCCCTTTTAAAATGATGTCCGTTCCTACATTCTTTATTTACCCCAGTTTGCTGGAGATTCATAGAAGGAGAGATTTGTTAACTCTACATTCTGATATACATGATCACCAGAAAGATGTCGTCTCGCTATATCTGATAAAAACTGTTTTAACTTGAAACTCTTTAATTATGTCATGATTTAAAAAAAAGTAATAATAACAAATAAAATACACATTATAAAAAGCAATGTATATATAAGTTTATGATCCGGGTATTGTTAATGTAGTTTTCTGACGTGGGATTGTACAATTTTATATAGTCTGTAATTTTGATGAATGTCGAAATGTTTTACTTTAAAAAAAAAATCCGCCTGATTTGTAATACATACGCTGCTACAATCCATGTAAGTGTAAAGTAGTCAATATTTTTTTATTAAGATTACATAGGTGCAGTCTCGCCTATGAGCCACCCATATGTATATACAAATTTCAAGTAATAGTAAATATGATACTATAACAAATATGTACCTTAAACTACACATTTAAGAAGAACCTTATTATCACATATAAATTTACATTTGAGCTTTATAATTTTGTTATTTCGCTCGGGAAGAAGTAATCGTCTTTTTAAATAAAAGCTAAAAGTTTTGCATGGACCAAGAAACTTTGATTTGAGAACGTAATCTAAGGAGTTGAACAAAATTACAGAACATCATTGAAATTTCTCAGATTCAGGTCATGAATTGATTTTCTAAATGCTAATTTGTCATTGAAATATTTAGGAATGCTGGAGCTTTATATCACAGGTTTTAAAGAGCAAAGAAAGTGATGCTTGACAACATTTTTTATTTTTAAGCAATTTCTTGAATGCTCCGGATATATGGTCAAATTTTCTGTAGCCGACAAGAGGTCAGAGTATCTGAGCATTGGTAATATATATACTGTAATGTATAAAAATATACTGGGTGGCTCAAAAAGCGGGACTAATAAAATGCACATTTTTTAACACACTATTTTTAAACTTTGTTTTGAATTTGTTTCGAAATTCTTCAACATTTTTAAAACTAATCGTTTTTCCAATATATTACATTTTCTAAAAAAACGTAAGTTTTTATATTCGCAAAAAAATTACTATAGCACCATTCCTTAGATTGCACATATTTGATATTACTGTTACTCGAAGATAACGTAAAAAATATTTTTATTTTTATTTATACTTATATTGCATCTTATTTTGGAAAATTGGGTCAGCCATTGAAATAAATAAATAAATAGAACTAGATATTCCACAATGTAGAGCCCTATGACACTGCAAGAAGAACCAAAACAGAAGTTTATATGGTGCAACCACTAAAACTTATTTCAAGTTTATGGGAAAATCGTGCGGAAGCATTGCGATGTCACGAAACCGTTTCGAGCGGTGCACGCGAAAATAAGGGATTTTCTCAGTTGCCACGGCAACCACATTGTTGTGTTAACATAATCGTGAATGGAACTCCGTGTTGCGAGTGCCCCACCCCCTCACTCTTATTGTTGCGTGTAGTATTATTTGATTATACGAAATGGGTGAGTTTGTAACTACTAGTAAGTCTCGGTCTATGTTGGTACAGATTGTATTCCATTTTTAATTAATTTTATAAATAAGACAAGTCATATATTTAACACTAAACAGGGTTGAAATATGTTGATTGTAAATAACAGTTTATAAATTAAAAACCACAAACCAAATAGTACATTTCAAATTTGTCTAATGTACAACAATAGATTAACTTATTGGTTTCAAAAGCTATCAGAAAATGATAAATACAATAGTTGCAAATATTGTTAACATGCACGATTTAAAACTATTTGAAAGTATACAGGGTCGCTCAAAAAAGCGCGACGAATAAAACATTGATTTTGTTAAACGAAACATCGTATTCTCAAGTTGTATTTTAAATTTGTTTCGAAATTCTTCAACAATTCTATTAATAATCGTGCCCCTAAATCGAATAGTTTTTCCAATATTTTAATTTAAGGTTTAGAAATGTATTACTATTAATAAAAAGTTGAATTTCAAAACGAATTCAAAACAAAATTTTTAAAAAATGTATGTTTTATTCGTCACGCTTTTTTAAGACACCCTGTACAATTTTAAATTGTGCATTCTAAGCTACTTTTGAAACCAATGACCTAATCAACTATGCTCTATCGTTGACTCGCCCTGTATATAATGGTATCGCTGAACAACAAACTTCTTTTTTAAAAGTTGGAAGGTGAGAGATTTCACTGGCACTTTTTGGCAGTAAATTAAACATTTTTCGATAATAATGAAACGTTTCTGGCTTCGGCACAATAAATTTTATTTTTCGTTAAGAAATACAGATTCGATTGAATTCAAACGAGACGCCCCTATATTTCGAATACTGTCAATATTACTTTGGGTTACATTTCTCCTTCATTGGATGGGATGGAAAAGTAAGACAAATGACTATAGTTTGATAAAAAGTGTATAAGAGTCAATTTGCACGCTTAATATTTTAAATTTTAAATAAAAACTGCCAGCGTACGTGTTTAAACAATAGTTTAGACAAATCTATGCGCTCGGCGCATAACCATGGCTCCTTCATAAACTATAACTTATAACATAAAACAAACATATATTGGTTTATTTGTTTGTGTGCATACCGCACATGGAGTACTTATTGGTAGGTCAAGCTATTTACCAAAAAGAAAAAAAAATACTAAAACAGTACTACTTCAGTTCAGACAACAACATATACGTTAGATTGCGAGATTATTTATAATTTTAATTTGAATTTTAATCAATTATTTGAAAATAATAAAAAAATAATATAGAATCTACAGCATGTGAGCAGTCAGACTATAAAATCTCAACTCCGAAAAATCTAAGAAAATTGTTTTTAATTAACTCCAAAAGATGCAGAATGTTCTACTATCTATAATAGAAAAATTTTCTTAATAAAAAATCAATAAATTCTATATTCAAATATCAAATATTCAAAAATATGTCGCATACTATAAAAAAATGTTCTGTTCCTGGTAGTGCAAGCTTTGATTTATTTATATGTATTTTTTATATTTTCCCCACACCTTGCCCCAAATGTTTTTACAAACCTCTCATTTGGCTCCCTTTAAGTAGAAAGGCAAACCAATAGAAATTATATATTTTATACGTCGCTAAATCTCACTCGATCCAGCGTCGTGAAGCAGGTCAAGAAAGGGGGGAGTCTCTTTTATGCAGCGAGAACACTCATCAAGAAGACAGTTGAACGAACTGACGAATGGTACGCAACTCAAAGATTGAAAAACAAAAAATAAACTCCACAGAAACTGTGGCACACCTCGTGGTCATTCGCATGTTAGGAAGAAAATCGTAAAAAAAAAATAATTTGTCTATTAAAGGTGGAACTTCCAAAATATTAATAAAATAAATAGGCATTGAGGAACATTTTCCATAAATGATAATGCAGGCCTAGAAAGCCCATGGATTAGTTGACTTTGTTTTTCCATTATTTCCTGGCTGCTTTCGTTCTGCAGTTGTTAATCACTAGTTCATTTATGTCCTTGATCACCTTGTCCATCCATCTCACTTTAGGTCTGCCTCTCCTCCTGCTCCCTCCAATTCCACACTCTAATATTTTTTGGGTAATCTGTCTTTTTTCGTTGGCTTTATTTTTGCTTTGCCAACAATGTAACGTTGGTCTAATAGCTCTTGCAGTTCCATACTGTTTCTTTCTTTTTGTTCATTTTCCGTGTTCCGCTTCCAAATAACAATAGATCTCAGGACTAACCTGTAAAATCTTAGTTTTACACTTCTAGACAGCAATTTTCTATTAAGTAATTTTCTAAATCCATATATACATTTGTTTCTTTTGAATACCCTGCTTTGAATTTTTTGTTTTAGGTTGGATTT